AGACGGGAAAGTTTTCTCTACGCCAGCGTTTTGTTGACGACCAGTGTGAGGAATAGCTGAGCCTCTGTGGGCCGGCGATGGTTTCCATCAGCTGAACGTTTAAACATCTAAAAACAGGGATGGAAAAAAAAACACTCCTGGAATGAACTGATTTTATCGTGTGTTTGATTCTCAGCTGTGGCTGTTCGAGGTAAAGATGGAGTCAGACGCTCACACTTCCTGTTTCTGGGACGAACACCGACGCCGCGCTGACGAGGAACGGAGAGGTGATGAAGTCTGAGCTGGTGAAGGAAGGTCAACCCCAGCAGCTCCAACCTCCCAGCAGCTCCAACCTCCCATCAGCACACGTGCACGCTCTTACCCAGCACACGTGCACGCTCTTACCCAGCACACATGCACGCTCTTACCCTGCACGCTCTCACCCTGCACACGTGCACACTCTCACCCTGCACACATGCACGCTCTCACCCAGCATACGTGCGCGCTCTTACCCAGCACACGTGCACGCTCTCACCCAGCACACGTGCACGCTCTCACCCAGCACACGTGCACGCTCTTACCCAGTTCATTGAGGCTCTGAGCAGCTTTGGTGATCTCCCTGCTGCCTCCCTGCAGCTGACCCTGGAGCCTCTTACTGAGATACAAGATCCGGATGATCCTGCGCAGCAGGTCACAGGCCACCTGTGGAGAAACGTGGATCATGAACGCTGCAGGTCAGGATGTCAGGTTTGTGGTTTGACAGAAACAGCTTCACCAACAGGTGAGAAAATGAGGAACAGTTTCCAGCTCATCTGTGTGGAAAAGTGTGTCTGCCTCTAAATTCTGCTGTTTCTAACATTCTGAGTGTTTCTCAGACTGATGGTAAAAACGCGGTTCATGGCGGTCTGCCTCTGAAACATCGTGAATATTAATGTGTTTGTTTTTTTAACTTCACCTCTTCTGGGCTGAATCTAAACACCAGATCCTCCTCGTGACGAAGGAAAGACCAACAACCATTATTCTGATTGATACTGACGCATACACACGTACACACTACGGCTGAATCTGTATCAACACGCTGCCCTCCTGATGACCACCCAGCTGTGTTTAACACTTGATCCTGATTGGTCAGCAGCTCTAAACGAGGGTAACGAGGGTTGTCTTTTCTGTGCAGTCGTATTAAGTTCAGCAGAAATGTCCGATCCTCCTCAGCAGAGTTCACTCTGATGGTTTTTACTTCTTTATCTTAAAAATAGGACATGATTGGAATAAAACGTCAAACTAAACTTATTAAATATGAAAATCTCAAATATCAGTTCAGTCACAGTCAGGGAGGATTTCTCTCCGTCTCTGCTGATACTCGGTGTTAAGTGATGCCGCTTTCACAGCCAGGAGAGGAAGAATATTATGCTTTAAGGTTGCTATGCCAACGCTTATGGTTACCATGGAGCTACTCCAGCTTTTTTAACTCCAGTATGAACGAGTATGTGCCGAGAGGAAACAGAACGAGGAGAGGATGGGAGGAGCAGCAGCTTGTTTAGGACATCTCTCACTCTGAGGAAGAAACAGTTCAGCGGAGAAGGAGAGAAACACAAAGTCTAATGATAGAAACTGAATCAAGACGGATTAACAGGCGGCCTGATGGTCACAGTGATAGAGGAAAAACAGGAGGAGGAGGAGGAGGAGGAGGAGAGTGTCAGGATGCTCTGTTTCTGTTGGTTCAGATGATTCCTTCATTATCATCCTGACTAACTCCATTAAAAAATAAAAGATCATCTCCCTCCTAACCTTCAACTAAAGTTCACTGACTTATTCAGTTATCAACCCGACCTGCTGCGGCCAGACGGAGCGGGAAAAACAGACGACGGTGAGGCTGTGGAGCGTTTCCCTAACCCTGACGTTCCAACCAGAAATATCCTGTCATGTCGTTTTCATCGCTGTTTATTTCAGACTGTAAGGTCAGCGTAAGCAGCAGCGCGACTCCTGTCTCTGGGCTTTAAACTTCCCCTCAACAACTGCTGGGCGCCACGTGCTTTCACTGCCTGTAGGAGAGTCCCTGTTTCACTGACTGTAGGAGAGTCCCTGTTTCACTGCCTGTAGGAGAGTCACTGTGTCACTGTTTCACTGTCTGTAGGAGAGTCACTGTTTCACTGCCTGTAAGAGAGTCACTGTTTCACTGCCTGTAGGAGAGTCCCTGTTTCACTGACTGTAGGAGAGTCCCTGTTTCACTGCCTGTAGGAGAGTCACTGTGTCACTGTTTCACTGTCTGTAGGAGAGTCACTGTTTCACTGCCTGTAAGAGAGTCACTGTTTCACTGCCTGTAGGAGAGTCACTGTGTCACTGTTTCACTGTCTGTAGGAGAGTCACTGTTTCACTGCCTGTAAGAGAGTCACTGTTTCACTGCCTGTAGGAGAGTCACTGTTTCACTGCCTGTAGGAGAGTCACTGTGTCACTGCCTGTAGGAGAGTCACTGTTTCACTGCCTGTAGGAGAGTCACTGTTTCACTGCCTGTAGGAGAGTCATTGTTTCACTGCCTGTAGGAGAGTCACTGTTTCACCACCTGTAGGAGAGTCCCTGTTTCACTGCCTGTAGGAGAGTCACTGTTTCACTGCCTGTAGAAGAGTCATTGTTTCACTGCCTGTAGGAGAGTCAGTGTCACTGCCTGTAGGAGAGTCACTGTTTCACTGTCTGTAGGAGAGTCATTGTTTCACTGCCTGTAGGAGAGTCACTGTTTCACTGCCTGTAGGAGAGTCACTGCTTCACTTCCTGTAGGAGAGTCACTGCTTCACTTCCTGTAGGAGAGTCACTGCTTCACTTCCTGTAGGAGAGTCACTGTTTCACTGCCTGTAGGAGAGTCACTGTTTTACTGCCTGTAGGAGAGTCACTGTGTCACTGTTTCACTGTCTGTAGGAGAGTCACTGTTTCACTGCCTGTAAGAGAGTCACTGTTTCACTGCCTGTAGGAGAGTCACTGTTTCACTTCCTGTAGGAGAGTCACTGTTTCACTGCCTGTAGGAGAGTCACTGTGTCACTGCCTGTAGGAGAGTCACTGTGTCACTGCCTGTAGGAGAGTCACTGTTTCACTGTTTCACTTCCTGTAGGAGAGTCATTGTTTCACTGCCTGTAAGAGAGTCACTGTGTCACTGCCTGTAGGAGAGTCACTGTGTCACTGCCTGTAGGAGAGTCACTGTTTCACTGCCTGTAGGAGAGTCACTGTTTCACTGCCTGTAGGAGAGTCACTGTTTCACTGCCTGTAGGAGAGTCACTGTTTCACTGCCTCAGTGGGACAGAAGGTGAAAATGTGCATCAGTCATCAGGAAACGATCATCTTTAATTAAAGGTCCATTTGAAATGTTGAAGCAGTAAACTAAAGAAGATGTCTCCTTTCAGAATAATCGATCAATCGTCAGAGTAATCATCAGGAGACTCGATCGGTTACTGATAATAACGACAGCCTGGCTCTGCTCATGCAGCGGCTCGCTCTAAAATCAGCCTGTGCACAAACATCAGGAGGGCAGAGAGGAGAAATCAAACCTCTGATTCTCCTGAGAGACTGAAGACTCGAACCACAGACAGTCAGAGAGACACACACTCAAACACACGGACCTCAGAATCACAGTGACCTTTTCACAGACGCTGTTTCATCAATAATTAATCAGGAGTCCCTTCACTACGACTGAAGCTCTGCTCCTCACACACTGAAACAAATCTGAGGCCGACAAACAGACAGACAGACGCTCCCCGACACTCGGAGTCTCTTATCTTCTTTATTTTCTTCTTTATTTTCTTCTTTAGGAAAACCGCCGTGTTAATGTCTGCTGCTGCTTTCAGAGAGAAGTGAGCAGGATACCTTCATCACGAGGAAGCCTCACCTGAAGTCTGGCCAGCTGAGTGATCCGCGCCACGATCTTGTTATACGGGTCGACGATCTTGGTCCTGATCCTGCAAAGACGTTGAGGTTTATTCAGGTTATTTTCGATAAGGAGAACTTCATAAACAGCAGAGAGACAACATTTGTGATTGTTTGATCCCAGAGTTAGTCTGAGCTGAAGTTCGGGGTTTTTGTTTTTCCATGACAGGATCAAAGTGTGAGAGGGTTAGGAGGCTGTTTAGGATCCAAGTGAACATCAACCAATCAAATCACAGACACACACAGACTCCTGATAAAGTAGATTATTTCACGTTTTTAATCTGGAGTTCAGATTTTAATAATAAGGTCTTTATGACTTTATGTGGATATGACAGACGTGTAAAAACAGAGCAGGTTTGTGAACGAGTGAACGTCTCGTTTACCTGTCCACAGCGGCCTGCAGAGCGCTGATCCTCGTCTGCATCATCTGAAGGACCCCTGAAAACACCAACAACATTTGAGTCATGTGTTTCCTCTCAGAGCGAGGAGTCATAGCGCCCTCTAATGGTGAAATCCCCAAACTGCAGTAACAGAGGGACGGACGTCTAACCTCTACAAACATCGTTCAGAACTCATTCTTCACAGATTTTGTTGTTTTGTTCCAGTTTGTGACTTTTTCTCTTTTTACACGTTTAAAATTAACTTTTTCATTTCCGCTCAAATTTAATTCGACAAAGAGATTCATCACATGGCCGGATATTACACACTGTGACAAGAGTGTGAACACACAATCAAACCTCTGAGTCAATAAACTCATACATGTTGGATCAATAAATGAGCCAAAGAGGAGAAAATCAGAGCGCACAGTCTGAGAGTGTGTTCAATTATTTATGAAGCGCTCATTTCTTTGATTTAGGGGAAAATACTGAATTTTAAAGACTGTCTGAATAAATCTGCATCCTCAGATATTTCATTTTCACACATGACCTCTGTCAACAAGAGTTACTGGTGGTTTGGAGAGGAGTAAAATATACATATATATAAAACAAGAAAAGCTTTCTAAATGATCACCTATGTCAGTTATAATCCAAACAGCACTGTCAGACGACAAATCTCCATAATTTACTAAAAGTTCAACCAAAAAGTCACAAAGAGACTAAAACAAAAGTCAGTCTGTATTTTCTATCAAAGCTCTACAGTTGGTGAAATCATGGAGGAAGTGTCTGTTAATGAGGATTTTACCTTCCAGAGACTCGATCCCGGTCGCCTGAGAGAGCAGGTCTTCATGTCTCGCCACAACCTGGAAAAAAAACAACAGAAATGAAAACAGACTTAAAACAGTCACCACAGCGTCCAACACATCAGACTACAGCGAGACATGATTAAGATGTCAAAGGTTCAAAATGTGACTGTTTCAGTATTTTGATTGTTATGAAGAAGGTTCGTACCTGACTGTGCAGCTCCTTGTCCAGCTGACTGATGCCCTGGGCGAGCTTGGCCAGCTGCTCGGCGATGACGGCGTGGTGGATGGCCTGAGCCGTGTACGTCTTCACATCGAAGTCCTCCGCCAAGAAGTCGGCGTAGCACTCTGCAGAGCAGAACCAGAACCAGAACCAGCAGTTCCTCAAACCATTCATGACCTTCACACCAACAGGATCTCTGCACCGCCCCCTAACCCTATCACCCTGTCACCCTGTCACCCTCATCCTCCTGCAGCTCTTGGCTGGAGGTTCGAATGTTAGTGAAACCAAAATACAAAACCTTTAAAATAAAACTCTGTTAGCCTCTCAACAACACTGAACCCTGAAAATAAAAACTATACCTCACAAATCTCTCATCAGCTGTTTTCTTTAAAAACAGGCAAACAGCTGATTTTTCAGTTTTCAGCTGTAGTTTAAAAATTTCTGTGAAAAGTTTGAGGCTGAAAAAAAAAAACCTTAAACTGCTGAAAATAAGAGAAACACTCACTCCTTTATATTCTCCAATTAAATGATATTTATTTTTAATTTTCCTTTTTTTTAAAAAAAAACATAATATTTAGTTTTATTTCCATGTGATGAAGCATAAATCATATTAACACATAAATTCAGGAGAAAAAAGTAAATATGTGCAGAAATAACTCAATAACACCTAAAGTGAACCGTGGTGTGGAAGGTTCGTCTGTCTGCGCAGAATCAGAACCAAACTCGAACTTTCTGGTTCTGATCTCTCAGGATACAACAAACAAACTATTTATGGTGGTTAGAATAGTGACACTCTTGATTTGACCTCTGGTGGTGAAATAAATAAACACAGGAAGAAAATAAATATACAGTCAAGCCCAGAATGATTCAGACTCTAATCAATAATCAATAGAAAAGCCTTTATTGGCTCAGGGTCTTCATGAAGTCTCCAAAATCCGGTACCTGGGCTGATTTTGGAGACTTCAAGAAGACCCAGACCTGGATGGATGAGAATCTACATGGACACAGAGTCAGGCACGAACACGTCAGTTTCACGATCAGAAATATTGATTAGTTTGATTATTTTGCTGTTTTTTTACCGTCTTTTAGAAGTGATTTCGTGGAAGCTTCTCTCCCGTCCTCCATGTTGACACTTCCGTGTGTGACGTGTACACTGGGGCGGAGCTTCATAGATATATATCTATAAACGCTAGATGTCTACCGCACGCTGTAAGCAATGGAGACCGACCTCCGCGCATGGCGGCCATCTTACTACAGTCAACCCTCCCACTCCTACCATTCCAGTCTACAGTTCATGTAACATTTAAATAACTATAGATTGATTAATTTAAATAACTATAGATTGATTAATTTAAATAACCATAGATTGATTAATTTAAAAACGATTTTCAAACGGTTTGGTTTGTAACAAACCTCAGAGTTTTAGTTATGTTCCTATATACTTAAGAATAATTTTAACCGTGGATTTACATAAATAAACATTAAACAAATAGATAGAACAAGATAGGCCTACACACACAAGGCAGTTATATTAAATAATTTAAAACATTTAATCATTCCATATATGTTATATTAGTAATATTTCCATGATATGGATAACTATAACAACATATAACAATAACATATATAAATATTTATTTTCAATATAAATTTCTGCCTCATGTTTCCATTTTAGATGTTTTTAACAAACCAAACAGTTTTGAAAATTATATGTAACTTCAGTTATGTTGAATCTAAAGAGCATTTCTGCCTCTTTAACTGACGTAAAATTACTGGGTCAACTTTGTAATATGTACTTGGTCTCAGTCACAGCGAGTCTGTTAGCCAAGTTTGACAGCTGATAAACACAAACACATCCACAAAGACTGACACTTAGATCAAAAATATAGTTTGTCATACAAGAAATTAAAATCTGGATTGTGGTCTCAGTGTTGACAAAGTGACTCAAAGTTACCCCAAAGTGAAACAAATGTTCTTCATGATTAAGTCATTTTTTCTCAAAGTAAATCTGTCATTTTAATATGTCCAAACATCCTCAGACTCACAGCCACGTTAATAAGGTCTGTAATAAACTAAACCATTTGTTAATCTGTCAAGATTTCAGAGAGTTAAGAGGATTTTTGATCATGTAGATTACTCACCTCCCGTCAATTACCATAGAGCGGACCAGACTGGTATACTGGAGTAAGATGGCCGCCGTGGAGGGACGCCCCTGACTCCGCCTCATAGAGTCATCTAGCCTTTCTGATATATGTCTATGAGAGCTTCACGTTGCACGCGCCTTAAAGAGACACACACACAGGTTCTGCTGTTCACCCCTTCAGAACCTGAAAAATCCTAAAAATAAACTTTAAGAACGTTTAAAAACGGTGCTGGACACGAACAGAACATAAAGAACGATGGTCTGTAAATGTTCAGTATGACTGAGAGATAAACAGCCAATCAGATGTGGCAGCCAGCACCTTGCTGCTATTGACTGCAGCTCTCCCTCCTCCTCTAACCCCTCCCTTCCCCTAATCAGGTCAGCTGAATAAAAGGCAGCAGCTCACCTGCAGCCGGCCTTCTGCTCTGCTCAGAGTGCTGGTGAGTAGGGTGGCTGGTAACTTTTTAATCTTTAGAGTTTTATGATTGCTTTTAACAGCATGTCCTTTTTGTTTGTAGGTGGTAGACCTGCTGCTGTTTTGTTGCCCCCATTAATTGTAGTTATTTTTGCCTGTTTACTTTGATTGTTTCTGCCCTTTTGATTGGTTTCCCCCCTTACTTGGTTTATTTCTACCTCTAAGTTTGGTTGTTTTACACAGTTACTCCCCCATTAGTTTGCATTCTGTTCTTAGTTACCCTTAGTTGCTTTTCTCCTTAGTTCCCTCTAGTTTTACCAACTGGGTTCGCTGGTTTGTTTGTTTGTTTCTTTGGTTAATCCTTTTATTTTATTTCAGAGGTTGAGCCCACTAGTTTGGGAGGCTAGGCACCCCGGGTGAGGGCCCTCCACCTTTGCATGAGTTTGGCACCGGGTCACAAGACTACACCGATTTTGTTTCTTTTGTTGAAGGTTTGCAGTGTGTGTGCTGTGCTTCACTTGGTGAGTATAAGGGAGCACCCCCCTGCACTTTCCCTCTGTAGTCTGCCTCCCTTCTGGTGGCCTCAGCTTATTTTAAGTTAACTTAGTTTGGGTTTCTTTGATTTAGTTTAAGTTGGGGTTATTGTACTTTTTAACTTTTGTAGAAGGCCTTGTTTTAAATTTTATTATAGAAATAAAATTAACTTTCTTGCCCCTTATCTGTGTTTTGTTATGTTGTTTTAACTTTATCCTTTTCTTTCCCTCCTAGGTTAAATTTCTCAGTTATATTTACGTTTAACTTCATTTTTTTTGATCTAATAAACATTTTGAAATATTTTGAACTCTGTCTCTGCCTCTTCAGAACTTACCTGTGTTGCCTTTATTCTTATTTTAGCTTCCTGTTTTAGTTTGAAAGTTCAGTTTCCTGGGGTGCAAGTCCCCAGGTGGCGTTGCTGGTTGGAGACAATATGCTCTATTTTTGAATAAAATAGCACCCCCTTGCCACACAGAGAACTGAAATGTGTTTAATAGACAGGGGGACCAAACTTCTTATTTAGACGTTTTAGGAACAACATGAGAGTATAAAACACAAGAGGACAGGGTACCGTCTAATACCTGAGACAGGTCTCCTCATAAACACAAGAGGACAGGGTACCGTCTAATACCTGAGACAGTTCTAATAAACACAAGAGGACAGGGTACCGTCTAATACCTGAGACAGTTCTCCTAATATATCAAATATCTTCACAGGGACGACTTTTCTGTTTCGGTTTTCAATCTTTGTATGAAAACTTTAAAAACATGCTGCTGATTCATTTTAATGTCATTTTATTATTTTTTAACCAACACAACAGTTTTAATGATGACCTCTTTTTTAAAGCTTCTGTGAGTAACTTTAAGTTTCTGTCAACTCTGGCGCCCCCCTGTGGACATAAACATCTTCGTTTACCTCGCTCCAAACGTGGCTGACCAGTGTTTTCTGATGAAGATATCATCCTGCTGTTTTTGACAGTCAAATGAAATTGGAAATTGTAAAAACTAAACGGTTTCACTGACACCTTCCCCTCACACTGACTCAAAAATCATTCTATCGTCACATTTCTCATGGACTTGTTGTTTTAATATCATAAAAAGACATTAATTTGAATTTTAGTCCATTATCTTAAAATTTCCTCACAGGAGCTTTAAATATTCTTTTGTAGAGCTAGTTCAGGCGTGGTTAATAAGTCTTTATGTATCCATACATAAAGCTCCTTTTAGTGGCTCATGGTTGGAGTTGATTTTGGTGCCCCCCAGTGGACAAAGCAGTAAGTGTCATTACTCTGTCCCCCTGTTGTATTGTGGGTAAAAGAAATAATCTATATTAGTTTTGTGAAGGTAGAAGGACAAGTATCTGAACAGGGTCGACACAGTTCACTCATGGTGAAGAAAACAACATTTTTAATTTTCTTTAAACATAATTAAGATCAAATGTAATGACTTATAGGACCCTCTGAAACGGTGAAGATTATGAATCAAGAAAAGTTAATTAACTTTCAACATTAAAAGAAACATCCCAAAGATAGAAAATAAAGATCACAACGAGAAAAGAAAAAAACAAACATCTGGTGTCAGAAAAAAACTCTCAAAGATGATAAAAACCGTGTACCATGGTGTCCTCCTCCTCCGCTGAGGTCGAGTTTAACTCTCATGTGAAACTTCTGAGATAAAGTTTTCTAAAGTTAGAAATGTTGAAGTCTTTAAAAACAGATATTTGACATTTACAGATGATTTAATCTCAGTCTACACGTCAGACGTAAACAGAGAACTAAAATAAACTAAAATACTGTCGACCATGTTTCCTGGTGGAGCTGAAAGGCTGAGGAACTTCATCACTATTGCTGCTTCAAATAAACAGCAGCGAGCGAATCAAGATTATCTAATATGACGAAGAAAAGACTCAAGTCACAAAGAACAGCTGTCTGACCGAGACGGTTATAGGACTGAAAAGGGTTGGACCGTGAACGTAGGAGGACGAAATCATGTTTCATTTAGAGAAGCTGATGAGATCGACAGGCGGATCGGAGCGGCGTCAGCAGTGATGCGGACTCTTAACCGATCAGTGGTGGTGAAGAAAGAGCTGAGCTGTAAGGAGAGACTCTGGATTTACCGGTCGATCTACGTGCCGATCCTCACCTATGGTCATGAACTTTGGGTAATGACCGAAAGAACAAGATCGCAGATACAAGCGGCTGAAATGGGTTTCCTCCTCAGGGTGTCCGGGCTCAGCCTTAGAGATAGGGTAAGGAGCTCAGAGGAGAACCGCTGCTCCTCCACGTCCAGAGGAGTCAGCTGAGGTGTTAGGACGCCTTCTGGACGCCTCCCGTTAGAGGTGTTCCAGACATGTCCCACCAGGAGGAGACCTCGTGGTCGGTCCAGGACCAGGTGGAGGGATTATATCTCTCTCCTGGGAATCCCCCCAAAGGAGGAGCTGGTGGGAGTGTCCGGGGTGAGGGCCGTCTGGACTTCCCTCCTGAAGATGCTGCCTCCGCGACCCGGACCAGGATGAAGTGGAAGAATATGTTGGAGACGGTCACATGAGTCTGCCGCCGCCTGTCAGGGTTTCAGTCGCTCACGCTTCATTTTTCGACGACGTCAGATGATCTTTCAGTGATTTTAAGAAGGTTGTACTTTGATCACGGCTCGTCTTGATTATTTTAATCCTCTTTATTTTGGTGTCAGTCAAACCTCTTCATCGTTTACAGCTCCTCCTCCTCCTCCTGTTTTATCTGCTCGCCGTAAATACGACCACATTTCCCCGATTTTCGCCTCTCTTCACTGACTTCCTGTGAGTTTTAGGATTGATTTTAAAATGTTGTTAGTAAATCTTTAAAACCTTTTATTTCATCTGGGACTCTCAGACCCTCTGACCTTCTGACTGTCCCGAGGTCAAGGTTAAAGTTCAGGGGTCCATCTTGGCGCCGAAGCTCTGAACGCTCCTCCTCATCATGTCCGTCTGTCTCCCTCACTTCCTGTTTTTTATAAACAAACTTTTACTCCTGAGAACTTTGATCCTGAACGTCTCTGTCCTCCTGTTTTTAACGGGTTCCTGTCTCTCCGTTAATTCTCTGTTTTTATCGTTTCTTTGTTGTTTTTAAATGAGCTGAATAAACCTGGACTGGATTTGACTGGACTGGATCTTCATCAGATGATTCTTTACACGCTCAGAGGACCAATGACCAGAGGAGCAGCGTTAACGCCACCTCCAACGCCGCAGGGACTGAAGTATGGGTGGAGTCTGTGGGTGAAGTAACAGCCGCTGAAGGAGTAGATGTGGGCGGCGGTGTCAGCGTCATAGAAGGAGACCAAACCCTCCTCGTAGTCCACAAACACGCCCACTGTCCGGAGCCTGGACTTCAGGGTGAGGAGGACACCAGGACCAGCGAGAGCTTTGTACTCTCTTCCGTTTCTTAACCACACGGTCCAGAACCCGTTCTTCGGGGACAACCGGATCTTTCCTTTCCTGACCACGGATTCGGAGGCCACGCCCAGATCCCAGTCCGTCTTCTCACCGACCTGAACAGCGAAGTAAATCCGTCCAGAGGAGAAGCTCCGCTTTCCTAAAACGGCGTTACAAACGGAGAACCTCTGAGGGTTGTCCAGGACTTTCATCTGAGTCTCCACAGACTGGACTTGTTTCCCATCGGGGGACAGGACCAGGAAGGGACTGGCAGAGTCCGGGTCCAGAGTGACATCTACAGCGTACTGCTGGACCTTCTTCAGAGCAACATCAGCACACATCTTCTTCACCTCCTCACTGAGCGTCTCCTCCAGCTGACTCACAGCTGTCCTCACCGTCCCCTCATAGGACGAGTGAACTTTGACCTCTGTCCAGTCTTTGGTGGGTGGAGCCGGGTTCAGAGAGGGCAGGTTTTGGAGGAAGTGGAGGTGGTCTTCAGTGGACAGGAGCTGCTCCACCTCAGCGCCTCTCTTCATCAGCTCAGAGATCTCCTCCTCCAGCTCTCTGATGAAGCCTTCAGCCCGTCTCTCCGTGTCTTTGTGCTTCTCCTCAATCAAGTCCAGGAGCTGAGCCAGACTGCTCTCCACAGACCGGCTCAGAGACCTGAAGACCTCCACGCTCGCCGCAGTCTCCCAGTCCGCGTCTACTCTGCTGAGCTTCACCGCCTGTTGGATCTTCTCTATCTTCAGACGTCTCTCCTGGATCTGCTGCAGGATTTCAGCGTCTACCTTCTCCAGGTCTCCTTTCTTCACCCCGTACTCGTCTCTGAGCGGAACCAAGACGTGGGTGCTGTGTTTGGACTCCACACAGAACTGACACACACACGTCTGATCGGACCTACAGAACATCTCCAGAGGTCTGTCGTGGTTCCTACACACTCTGTCCTCCAGGTTCTCCACAGGATCCATCAGCTGGTGCTTCTTCAGACCCGTCATCTTTTCATGAAGGTCCAGGTGAGTCTGACAGTAGGAGGCCAAACACACCAGGCAGGACTTCAGGGCCTTCAGTCTGGTTTCAGAGCAGACGTCACACAGGACTTCTCCAGAGGATGGACCTCTCTGGATCCTGCTGCTGCTGCTGGCTTTCATTAGAGCCGACTGTCTGAACTGAGCCACCATCTCAGATATGAAGGTGTTGACATGAACCTCCGGTCTGCTGTTAAAGAGCTTTTTACACAGAGGACACTGACAGGAGACACTCACGTCCCAGTGACGGCTGATGCAGCTCTTGCAGAAGTTATGACCACATGGTATGGAGACGGGATCAGTGAAGACCTCCAGACAGACCGAACACTGAAACTGCTCTTCAGAGAGGAGGCTGCAGACTGAGGACATCCTGGAAAACAAAAGACAAATCAATCAACTTCTGAACTGATAAGCCTCAAACTGATTTTAATGATCGCTGTAGTTAAAGGTCAACGAGGCGATTTTCTGTTTAAAGACGCAGCAGAGACGGGAATCCAGAACCGGTTCTTGTTGAGAGGCGGGTCCAAATGGTTCGATCCATCGACATCATTTACATTTTATCTGAACGATTTCTCTCTTCCAGGTGTGTTAGAAACGGTCTCACGAGCGCCGGTCTACACGAACAGGAACACAGACTTAGAGGGAAAAAGACTCGGTGGTTGGTTCGTCATTTTACGTCATTTTACTGAGAAAGACGACAACAGAGCGACGTTTGTCAGCAGTGAGAACATGCAGAGATGGAAACAGCAGCGACACGCGTCAACATTTGTCTTCAGGTCACGGCGTCAGATTTAAGGAGTCTCACGTATTCACACACAGGCGCTGTCTTCATGTTAAGTTAACCACCCCGCCCCCATCCCCACTTCTACCGCCTCCCCTCCTCTCTCCTCTGTCCCCATCTCCTTTTGTAAAGCGACCTTGGGTTACTTGAAAGGCGCTATATAAAACTAAGTTATTATTATTATTATTTATTATTATTATTATTATTATTTATAAATTCAGAAAATGTTTTTAACTAAATTAGAAGATCTTAAAAAACACTCGACACTTAAAAAACTCAGGGCTACAGAGACTGTTGATGTTTTTAAGAAGAGGCTCCAGACTCACTTCTTTAACCAGGACTTTTCTCTAACTACCTTTTTATATTTCTCTTATTACAAATATTCATTTTAATCAAAGTTCTTAAAGTTTATTTAACATCATTTTATTAATTATCTCTGTTCTTAGTCTTTTTTAGTTCCCATCTTAGAGGTTTTTACTTCTTTTACCTGTTTTACATGATAAAGCTCTCTTACTTATCTGTTCATTTAATATTATTTTATTATTTTAGTCCATCAGGTTTTACTCTTCATTTTTACTATTTTTAATTTATTTATTTATTTTATTTTATTTTATTTTATTGTTTTAGTCCATCAGGTTTTACTCTTCATTTTTACTATTTTTAATTAATTTATTTATTTTATTTTATTTTATTTTATTATTTTAGTCCATCAGGTTTTACTCTTCATTTTTACTATTTTTAATTAATTAATTTATTTTATTTTATTTTATTTTATTGTTTTAGTCCATCAGGTTTTACTCTTCCTTTTTACCATTTTATTTTTAATCTTTTATCTCCATGTTTCCTAAAGGTCGCTCTTTCCTCTCTAATGTCTCTTTAACTATATATCTAAAATTCTTACACTGTGTGCGTGTGTATGTGTGTGTGTGTGTGTGTGTGTGTGTGCGTGTGTGTGTGTGAGGGTTGGTTTATTGTCGTTATTGTTGTTTTTAGCCTCTGTGAGGAACTCTGAACGACATTTTTTGTCTGTAAAGTTCCATATAAATAAAGTTGAGTTAAAAAACATCAAGTCTGTAAAAGTGAGTTTCTAAACTGAAGCGTCTGTCTCTGCTGTCCGTCTTCTCTCCTCTGAAGGTCTTTCCAAAGTCGAGGATCTCTGATGACCCCAGCATGATAATGATAGTTCACATGTCAGTATCTACTGTGGAGGTTTGGAATAAATCGACCTTAAAAACCGGTCTGATGTGCAGAATCTGAACACTGCCGCCTAGTGGTCAAAACTCTGATTTTTATTATTTAAGGTGGAATCGAAACTTAAACTGGACTGTGGGTGAACGTGGAGTTACGGTCATGTTCGTGTAACAAACCTCAGTTTACCTGTTCTTCTCAGGACTAACTCAGAGACAGGAGCACGAGGACAGACTTATTCTGTTCACGTCAGAATAAAAACCTGAGCGGATTGGCTGATAATGACGGGATTAACCCTTTTTAGAATAAAAATAAAGAGTTTTTCTGAGTTTAAACGGTCCGTTAGAAAAGGTCCACTCACCTGTGTGTCTGTGGTTTATTCCTGCTGGATGAGATGAAGTCAAACACTGATTTTCAGAGTCAGAGTTTCTGCTCCTCCTGCTGCAGGAAGGATCTCTGTCCAAGTTTCGTTTCTTCTGTTTTTGGCGGTGAAATGATCCGGACGGTTTCGCTCCTCCTCCGTCATAAGGCTGTCATAGAAGAACATGTGTGTGGTTTTAGGAGAAGAAGAAGAAGAAGAAGAAGAGAGTGACTTTGTTCAGTTTAACCACAAAAAGACTTGAATATGAAGGTGTCAGACAAACGTCAGTTATTTTAATGTTTCATATAAACCTGATCCTGAACTGTTTCGGTGTAAAACACGAGTCCAGATGAGAAATGTGTGTGTGTGTGTGTGTGTGTGTGTGTGTAAGTCTATGTTTGTTGATATAAATTATATAATTTTATTTTAATGTGAGACCAACAGTTTAACATAAATCAGTGTTGACACATAGTCATCATAGATTATAATCTATAATGATTATAAATATTCATCATAGATTATAATCCAGTGTCCCTCTTACTGAAATGAAAACCAGTCCAGGTGGTCCTCTTGGACCTGAGCGCTCTGGTTTATGGTGGGGTGCGCCCTCTGGTGGACAGGTGAGAGTCTCTCAGCCCATAACTGACGGTTTGATCACTTCTTTGTTAGCAACAGTGTGAAATTAGAGAACGGCATTTATATAAAATCATGACAAAATACACTATTATTTTCTTACACTTTTATTTATTTCAGCTCATTACAAAAAAAACAAGAATAAAAAAAATAAAACAAAAATAAAACAAGAATAAAACAAAATAAAACAAAAATAAAACAAGAATAAAACAAAATAAAACAAAAATAAAACAAAATAAAACAAAAGAAAACAAAAATAAAACAAAAATAAAACAAGAATAAAACAAGAATAAAACAAGAATAAAACAAAAATAAAACAAAATAAAACAAGAAGAAAACAAAAATAAAACAAAAATAAAACAAAAATAAAACAAAATAAAACAAAAATAAAACAAGAATAAAACAAGAAGAAAACAAAAATAAAACAAAAATAAAACAAGAATAAAACAAAAATAAAACAAAAATAAAACAAGAATAAAACAAAAATAAAACAAGAATAAAACAAGAATAAAACAAGAATCAAACAAAAATAAAACAAAAATAAAACAAGAATAAAACAAAAATAAAACAAAAATAAAACAAGAATAAAACGAGACTAAAACAAAAATAAAACAAGAATCAAACAAAAATAAAACAAAAATAAAACAAAATAAAACAAGAAGAAAACAAAAATAAAACAAAAATAAAACAAGAAGAAAACAAAAATAAAACAAAAATAAAACAAGAATAAAACAAAAATAAAACAAGAATAAAACAAGAATAAAACAAAAATAAAACAAAAATAAAACAAGAATAAAACAAGAATTAAAAAAAAACCACCCGATGACACTTAAATTTAGAGTAATCTAAAACAGGAATATTTTCTTTAAGAAAATAGAGAGTGCAGAGAAATGCATTAGATGAGTTCATTCGCCTCCGACATCGAAGGCTCTGACATGTGACTGTCGCGCACACGTACATCGCCATGACGACACTCTAAGGACATATCGTGCAGCCCTAGTCTGGCTGTTTTTCCGTAGACAACAGACACCTTTCTCCACTTCAGGTCACTGAATCTCAAACCAATGAAAACTGAGTGTGAAGACCCATCATAAAACAGCTCCCTTCATTGATCAGTTATTGATCGGATCAGTTTGTGTCACAGCAGTGATGATCAGAGGAGCAGAGTTATCACCTGAGTTATTGATACAGGGACCAAAGATGGGGTGGAGTCTGTCGGTGAAGTTACAGCCGCTGAAGGAGTAGATGTGAGCGGCGGTGTCTGCGTCATAGAAGGAGACCAAACCCTCCTCATAGTCCACAAACACGCCCACCTTCTCAGGCTTGGACCTCAGAGTGAGGAGGACAGAGCGGCCACCAAGAGCTGTGTACTCACTTCCGTTTCTTAGAACTAACACCCAGACATCGTCTTGAACACTTGGTCTGATTAGTTCCTTCCTGTTGATGGATCTGAGCGCCACTCCTAACTCCCATTTAGATTTCCGTTTCACCTGGACCTCAAAATAAAACTTTCCTACTGAGTAACTCTGCCGTCCTAAAACACAGACAGACTGAGAAAACCTCTCTGGATTATCCGGGACACTCTGTGTTTTCCCGTGGTGAACTTGTTTCTGGTTTTTAGACACGATGAGAGAAGGATGTGCTGTATCAGGATCCAGAGTGACGTCCACCTCAAACTGCTGGACCTTCTTCAGCTCAGACTCGAGCTGCTTCTTCACCTCCTCACTGAGCGTCTCCTCCAGCTGACTCACAGCTGTCCTCACCGTCCCCTCATAGGACGAGTGAACTTTGACCTCTGTCCAGTCTTTGGTGGGTGGAGCCGGGTTCAGAGAGGGCAGGTTTTGGAGGAAGTGGAGGTGGTCTTCAGTGGACAGGAGCTGCTCCACCTCAGCGCCTCTCTTCATCAGCTCAGAGATCTCCTCCTCCAGCTCTCTGATGAAGCCTTCAGCCCGTCTCTCCGTTTCTTTGTGCTTCTCCTCAATCAAGTCCAGGAGCTGAGCCAGACTGCTCTCCACAGACCGGCTCAGAGACCTGAAGACCTCCACGCTGTCAGCTTTCTCCTGGTCTGCGTCGTCCCTGCTGAGCTTCACTGACAGCTTCATCTCCTCGATCTTCAGTTTTCTCTCCTCCATCATGTTCTGGATCTCCTCCTGAGTCTCTCTGAGCTCAGCTTTCTCTCCTTCATATTTCTCCACCAGAGGAACGATGGAGTGAAGCTTGTGGTCCAACTCAGTGCAGCTGATGCACACACACGTCTGATCGGACTCACAGAACATCTCCAGAGGTCTGTCGTGGTTCCTACACACTCTGTCCTCCAGGTTCTCCACAGGATCCATCAGCTGGTGTTTCGTCAGACCCGTCATCTTTTCATGAAGGTCCAGGTGAGTCTGACAGTAGGAGGCCAAACACACCAGGCAGGACTTCAGGGCCTTCAGTCTGGTTTCAGAGCAGACGTCACACAGGACTTCTCCAGAGGATGGACCTCTCTGGATCCTGCTGCTGCTGCTGGCTTTCATTAGAGCCGACTGTCTGAACTGAGCCACCATCTCAGATATGAAGGTGTTGACATGAACCTCCGGTCTGCTGTTAAAGAGCTTTTTACACAGAGGACACTGACAGGAGACACTCACGTCCCAGTGACGGCTGATGCAGCTCTTGCAGAAGTTATGACCACATGGTATGGAGACGGGATCAGTGAAGACCTCCAGACAGACCGAACACTGAAACTGCTCTTCAGAGAACCTCCAGCCGGCAGCAGACATCTCTGGAGAATCAGACAAAGATTAGAGATCATAAACCCTCACAGCTGAATCTACCTCCACTCCTCCACTCCTCCTCTCCTCCACTCATCCATGAAATCTAAAATAAAAGTCTGAATGAATGTGAATATTTCATCGTTAAAATTCTACGCCGTATAAAAACGCTGAAACTCTCCGTCCATAACGTGGACACGTGTGGCGCTCTCTGTGTCCCGGGAAATCTGCACAATGGGTGGGCACACCCCCCCAGACTGTCCCCCCTTCATACTGTGAAAAGTCAGAGAACCATGATTCTGACCAGGTGGTGGCGCTCTCTGGGGCCCAAAAGGTCTCACTGTGCTGGTCAGGAGCTCCAGAGCCTCCTGCTAACCGTCCTGTCACCGAGTTTAAATAAAGTTTTTGAAGTAAATTCACACCTGTGCAGCTCGGACAGGCGGACATGAAAAAGACACGTTTGGTTTCTCTGTCGATGTTAGGAAATGTGCAGCTCAGATAAGAAAATAAAAATACAGTTTGTTTTATTTATTCTTCGTTTTATTTCTGAGTTAAATTATTCAGTTCAGACTCTGGAACGATAAATAAATTTAAATGTTCAGATTTGATATTTTAAATAGAGTTTCGGTTCATATTTCATGGTGAATATTTATAAAATTAAATGGATTTTTCTTTTACATTCGAATGATCAGTGCTGAAAATTACAGTTTATTTATTTTTGGTTTTATTTATGAGTCCAGACGTGCAGGTAGATTCTGAAAATGCATTTCTGTTTTCATCTGTTTTCATTTGAATTCTGACACTAATTTGCTTCCATACAGATTTCCTGTTTCTTCTCTGGTCCCAAAAAAAAAAACTTTTTAAAGCTGAAGGGTTAAAAAAATGAAACGGACAGATCTGATGTTCTCCTTCATATAAACGGAGATATTTTAACGTCTGTCCAACTTCCAACATAAAAGGTGTTTATTCATTAATAATCACCATCTAATGAAAACACCTGACAGGTTCAGATGGAACTGTTCACCTGTGTTTGCTGCCATCGTGTGGTCATCACACCACACTGCAGTGATTTAAGAGAGTAAAATTCAGTCTGTAGACCGAGGTGAAGATCTTACTGAGCTGCTGTTCAGTCTCTGGTTTTATTATTTTAAAGTTTTGACTTTTCTTCGATCGTCCAGGTAACAGGAGCGCTAAAGGGTCACCTGAGAAACTGTCAGTGAGTGACTGAGAACATCCACAGATCTGTATTTATGAACATTTCAACAGTCTGAAGGTAAACTCCTCTGTTCCCCCTGAACTACTATGAGGACTTTATTAGTCCTCTGAGATTAAATGGTGGACTTTAATATTTCTGACCTCCTGTTGGAGCTCAGAGAAACCACAGCTGATGATAAAACTCATTTAAAATGATTTTTATTTCTAATCAAACTGACGACTAAAGACTAAACTCACTTTAACTGTCGAACCTCTTCTTCATCCATGAGCTTCGAACCTTCACTGACTCCATGAACTGACGACCACCTCCGTAAGGTTTGGTCACATGATCAATTTCTTTGAACATTTACAAGCAGCAGGTGGGGGTGGTTCAACTTACCCCAGTCTCCCCTATTCTCACACTGACAGACTCACCGTGTGTGTAGATGACACTCAGACGTGTTTAGGGTGAATTCCTGATGGTGGTTCTTCTGTTTCTGACTCGGTCCAGTCCGTCAGCTCAGGACTTTCACTTTCGTTTCCTGTGAAGAGACTCTGAACCACTCCTCTGTTTTTCTCCCCTCTGTTTCCTCTCCTCTGTTTCCTCTCCTCTGTTTTCTCTCCTGAGACTCCTCTTTAAAAGGATCACTGAGAAATCCTCCGGCTGTTTCTGTAACAGATTTGACGGTTAAAAAAAAAAAAAACATAGATATACTGTATATGAATAAACACCATAGATGTCTGTGTATAGACGCCTTTCTCATAGATGTCTACGGTAAACACAGCGTCGTGTCATGTCAGAAGAACCCGGAAACAGGAGTCTGTCTCCAACACAAGAACAACATCAGTTCAACTTCAGTTTGATGTAGAATTAATGAATTAAATCAACTTTAATTTAGTGGATTTTTAAACTTTATTTCCTGTAACTCTAACTTCTTTTATAAAAACGGAGTCTCCAGATCTCCTCTGGTCCCTTAAACCTGATTTCTAAACTTGTTTGTTGGATTATTTCTCAGAGATTAAACTCGGATTAACTCCTGACTGTTTCCCTGGATTAAAAAGTTACAGACCTTTAAACTCTCACTTTATAAATGTTTGTAAACCTGAGAATGGAGGAGTCCTCAGCCTGTCTGACACATTTTTAACTTTAATTTAGTTTCATATTTGAACCTTTTTTCTCCTCTTGACTCCTGAGAGGACAGGAGGACAGCTCAGATTCTAGATCTCAGATTCTAGATCTCACCACCACGACCCTGTTTTACTCACCCGTCCGTGTGTTTGAGGAACTCCAGGTTGGCTGTGAGGATCGAGACTCTGCTCCAGTTCTGTTTAACATAAACAAGAAAGGCTAGATGACTCTGAGAGGCGGAGTCACGGCGGCCATCTTACTCCAGTATACCATTCTGGTCCTCTATATGGTAGTTGACGGGAGGTGAGGAATCTACATGATCAAAAATACTCTTAAAATAAATATCTATATATGTTATTGTTATTATAGTTATCCCTATAATAGAAATATTACTGATGTAACAGACACTGAATGATTAAATGTTTTATATATAAATGATTTAATATAACTGCCTTGTGTGTGTAGGTCTATAACTATTGTTCTGTCTATCTGTTTAATGTTTATTTATGTAAATCCATGGTTAAAATTATTCTTGAGTATACAGGAACATAACTAAAACTCTGAGGTTTGTTACAAAACAAACTGTTTAAAAATCGATGTAAAATTAATCAATCTATGTTTATTTAAATTAATCAATCTATAGTTATTTAAATGTTACATGACCTGTAGACTTGAATGGTAGGAGAGAGCAGCTGACCTTAGTAAGATGGCCGCCATACGCAGAGGTCGGTCTCCATTGGCTAACAGCGTGCGTGAGTCATCTAGCGTTCATATATCTATATCTATGCTCGTGACTGCGCTCCAGCTGTGTTTACTTCACTTTTATTTCCGGCTGGAGTGTGACGTTGAAACGCCCCGCCCCCTGCTGTCAGTCAACCTTAAATTGAATCAAATCTAATTAAAACTCGACACACATGCGCAGAAGGTCCATGTAAAGGACATGCTGTAAATCAGAGAACATCACTTTATCAGGTTTGTTGGTGTCAGGGTTATTTTTGACTGTGATTAATATTCCACAGAGAGAGAGAGAGAGGGATCTAAAATCATAATAATTATAATAATAAATAATAATTATTAATCATCATGAGTCATCAGGGAATCTTCCTCTTCACTAAAGAACCCTGAATATCCTTCAGAGAACCCTGATTATTGGGATCTCACATGTTTGGAGAGAGTTCAGACTTTTCAGTCAAAACCATCAAACATCAAGAATCAGGTTTGTAAATCTCTCCTGGACTTCAGTGTAAAAGGAGACAATGAATGGACTACAGGAACCGGGTCAAGGTTCTCACGAGGAGACAAAACCAGACTATTACAGTAGTATTAAAGTACTTGGACAACTGAAACCTCGTATATGTAGATCTTGTGGAAATTGGGTAAATGTGACGTCTTTAGTTCAAATGTTCTTACTTTACTAAAATCAGAGGGAGAGTAACAGGCTGGAGAAGATGTTGTTCTGACTGGACATGTTGGTCATAAATGTGTAAATGTGATTTATTTTATATGTTTCTACCTGATGAATTTAAAATAATACAAATAAAAAAATCTCCTTATTTATAAACTCGAACCGATAATATGTCCAAAAAGCTGCCACAGGGACGATAAAAAAAGAGGAATATTAAAAAAAAAACACATCTGGAGGAACGTCGAACAGGTCAGTCACATGACCGGGTCTAAGACAGAGGCGGAGTCTCTCAGAAAGAAGAGGGTCAGGACTCAGTGAGAGACTGCGTGAGCTAACAGCTGAAAAACAGACAGGACTCTGGAGTGGAAATCACCGCGTGGACACAAAGTGACTTCCGAAAAACCATCGTCTGTGATCACAGATCATCCCCAAAAATAAGGTCCAAACTGACCCTGAGTCTGTTTAAGATGAGGTGAACATGTCTGCTGCTCACTTTCACACCAACAGACCACTCTGAAAAAACTCTGTCTGTTTTTAAGAGAGTCGAACACGTGTGGAAACAAACCGGTCATCATCCTGTACGATGAAGAAGAGAAACAACAACGAGAGAAAACAACAGTGAGAGAGAGATAATAACAGAGATAATAACAGAGATAACAGAGATAATAACAGAGATAATAACAGAGGTAACAGAGATAATAACAGAGGTAACAGAGATAATAACAGAGATAATAACAGAGATAATAACAGAGGTAATAACAGAGATAACAGTAATAACAGAGATAATAACAGAGATAATAACAGAGATAATAACAGAGGTAATAACAGAGATAATAACAGAGATAATAACAGAGATAACAGAGATAATAACAGAGATAATAACAGAGATAACAGAGATAACAATAGAGATAATAACAGAGATAATAACAGAGGTAATAACAGAGATAATAACAGAGGTAATAACAGAGATAATAACAGAGATAATAACAGAGATAATAACAGAGATAATAACAGAGGTAATAACAGAGATAATAACAGAGATAATAACAGAGATAACAGAGATAATAACAGAGATAACAGAGATAATAACAGAGATAATAACAGAGATAATAACAGAGATAATAACAGAGATAATAACAGAGATAATAACAGAGATAACAGAGATAATAACAGAGATAATAACAGAGATAATAACAGAGGTAATAAAAGAGATAATAACAGAGGTAATAACAGAGATAATAACAGAGATAATAACAGAGATAATAACAGAGGTAACAGTAATAACAGAGATAATAACAGAGATAATAACAGAGATAATAACAGAGGTAATAACAGAGGTAATAACAGAGATAATACAGAGATAATAACAGAGATAATAACAGAGATAATAACAGAGGTAACAGTAATAACAGAGATAATATCAGAGATAATAACAGAGGTAACAGTAATAACAGAGATAATAACAGAGATAATAACAGAGATAATAACAGAGATAATAACAGAGGTAACAGATAAATAAACTTAAAAACTGAAACAACGTGAACACAGAAGAGAGAAACGAACAGTGAGTGAGAGATAATAACAGAGATAATAACAGATAATAACAGAGATAATAACAGAGGTAATAACAGAGATAATAACAGAGGTAATAACAGAGATAATAACAGAGGTAATAACAGAGATAATAACAGAGATAATAACAGAGATAATAACAGAGGTAATAACAGAGGTAATAACAGAGATAATAACAGAGGTAACAGTAATAACAGAGATAATAACAGAGATAATAACAGAGATAATAACAGAGATAATAACAGAGGTAACAGTAATAACAGAGATAATAACAGAGATAATAACAGAGGTAACAGAGATAATAACAGAGATAATAACAGAGGTAACAGAGATAATAACAGAGGTAACAGTAATAACAGAGATAATAACAGAGATATAACAGAGATACAGATAAATTAACATTAAGAACTGACAGAGGCAGATGTAACGACAGCTGATCACCACAGGAGGGCAGAGCTGTCCACCACCGTCTGTCTGAGATGACTCAGGGAAAATGGTTTAGAGGGAGAGAGAGAGAGAGAGAGAGAGAGAGAGGGAGAGGATGAATCAGTTCACAGTCTCTCCTGCTGATCTGTTTCTGTGTGTTTGTGTTTGTCAGATTTCTGTACACTCTAACCCTCCTCTGTTCAGTCAGATCTTCTCTTCTCTCCTCCTCTTCTCTCCTTCTCTTCTCTTCTCTCCTCCTCTCCTCTCCTCCTCTTCTCTCCTTCTCTTCTCTCCTCCTCTCCTCTCCTCCTCGTCTCTCCTCCTCTTCTCTTCTCTCCTTCTCTTCTCTCCTCCTCTCTTCTCCTCCTCTTCTCTCCTCCTCTCCTCTCCTCCTCTCCTCTCCTTCTCGTCTCTGTCCTGAAAAATAACCTCAACCTCTGAAAACACATTTACAGAGCAGGGGTGTGTGTATGTATCTCAGATCTGAGTCCATCTGGAGTCTCCGTGTCCGTCTTTCCTCTCCACCTCTTGGATTAGATCTGCAGACTGATGAATGTGACTCCATCTGGGCAGAAGCTGAAGTGACTGAAGAACTCTGGAAGAGTTTAGAAGTCTTGAATGATTCCTCCTCAGAGTGGAAACGATACACCTGCTGCTGCATTAGACACAAACATTATTCATATGAATGACAGACTCTTGACTTCAGCTTCATGAGGACTGCAGGACTTCACCTGCTGAGTCCAGACCAGCTTTCTCTCTGTTTCTGTTTTTTACCTTCAGATGTTAAAATAAAACTCATCTTGGTTCTTATCTGCAGACCTCCTCCTCCTCCTCCTCCTCCTCCTCCTCCTCCTCTGATCAGCTTTCTTCATCAGCTCAAACCTCAAACTGTACCGAGTCAAAACTTCACAGGAACAACAGCAGCAGCAGAAATGAGCGTCTATCTGAGCGCCGTCAAAGGTTCCTGTAAACTTTCAGGGTTCAGCCGTGTAAAAACTGACACCCAGAGTTCTACCTGAGCTCCGAGTGTTTCAGAGGTGGTTTCGGTCCAACTGTCGGTCTGACTGTGTTAGTTTGGGGGGGTGACAGACCGTCTCTAAGATCTACTTTTATGATCTTTTATGATCCGGTGTTTTTATGTCAGTTAGCTGTGTTCAGTTTCTGCTCCCCTCTCTCTCTCTGTGTTCGTCTCCTAATTTATCGATGTTAGCTTGAATTACAAAATGATGTTTGTGAAATTTTACATGATTAAAAAATAAACACATATATAAATATATATATATATATATATTTAGAGGATTTCTGGTTTAATAGAGGTGTGTGAGGTGAAGAGAGACGGACGACAAACAGAATGAAACTCTCACAGGCTTCAGTCGTTCGAACCTCGGACCGCCTTTAACTCGTGGAAACCCCGCCCACTGAGACTGAAGACCAGAACCGAGGTGTTGTCGGTGTGATCGGGGTGTTTCCACATTCTGGACTCTGGTCGTTTGTTTCCATGAAACTAAAAATAGTTGAGGAGTTCTGGGTCTCAGGAAGTGGACCCCCCGCCCGCCTGCTGTTAAGATCAGTTTTTAGGAGGTTTCCGTCCTGAGAGGGTCCACTGTGATCCCTGACCCCGCACTGGTTCCTGTTTGGGTTTTTGATGTGAACTGAAATACTGATCCAGTTTCTGCTGAAGTTCTCCAACAACAACAAAACTTCAGGGTCATCTGTGAGAGGAGGAATAACGGACTGAATGTCAAACAGCTGATTAAAAAATGATGAGAGGGAAAACGCTCCTCCAGAAACTGTAGGATTTCATGAAGAGGAGGTTTCAGGGTCACCAGGAGTTTGAAGAAGGTTAGAATCCAGATAAAAATCCAGTGTTGGTGAAAAAAAACCTGCACTGACTCGACACACAGGAGGAGAGCGCATGAACATCCTCCATCAAACCTGCAGCAAAACTACAGAAATATCAGGAGTTAACTGCAGGTACGTGTGACAAAAACACTTTATAATGACGATGTCTGAGCGGCTCAATTCAGTCAAATAAAAATGTGGAATAATCATCACAGCTGTGTTTCACTAACGTCCACCACAGACACTGAAATAACAATCAATCATGATATAATCAATCAGTAAACAGAAGTCTGTGTTTGAGACGCTCTTTTCTCAGAGTTTCTTACTTTTAATGTCTGAAACATAAATTATGGCCTGAAAATTCACTTTTTGGAGCTGAAATGTTTATTTAACTGAAAACTAAAAACCAGAAAATCAAAATGTCCTTAAAATGAACATTGAATATTGATTTATCTTCTTTGATACATTAGAAACTGATAAACCACAAGAGGATATTTTGATCATTGATCCGACTGTGTTCAGGTGTTTGTTGGTAATTTGTCGATCATATTGATTTGATCTGAGGCTCTCCGAGAGACTTAGAGATAGGGTAAGGAGCTCGGACACTCGGGAGGAGCTCAGAGGAGATTTGCTTTAAACCTGGAAATATTACCTGTTAAAATACTGCATGTTAAAATATCACGTTTAAATATTATATGGTAATATTTTGTTATTTATATTTCTTATTTTGTGTAAAATCCTGGAGGAGGTCTACAGTTCTCCTGAACCTCCTCTGTTTCAAACATTTATAAAGACGTCAAACAGCGTTTAATAAAACATAAACTTTATTTTCTCGTTCTCCTCACGTCATTTTCATCCTGAAGTCAAGATCAACAAAAACACAGCAAGCAACCGGACAGAGAACTTCAGGGTTAAAGACGCAGGACGGCAACAGTCCAAGCTCCTCCCACCGACGTACGCACGCACGCACGCACACACACACACACACACACACACACACACACACACACACGCTCATGAAACCTGCAGAGTCGTCATGTCGGGTCCTGAAACCTGAAATAAGCGGTTTGTGTCTGAGGAGACCGGATCTTCACTTGAACTTCCTTCGTGTGCGTCACGAGGATCTGAACGCCGACTTTCCTCTGAGTTTTTCGTGTCTTTATTAGACGGAGAGGGTGGAGCTGGAGCAGCTGACGTGGATATTTGGACCGCTGTCGGAGAGTTTGAGACGATCATCTCTGATTCCACCAAAGTCCTCGCTGAAGATCACGGCGGGTTAGAAACGGTTTAGAGACGAGTCGCTCCACCTCACAGCGACGTAGAGAGAAATCAGCCAATCACAGCAGAGACTGGTTGTTGCTCCTGTCGGACTCTTCGTCTGCGGCCTGATCCGCCTCTTCCTTCCTCGTCCACATCTTTACATTCCCATCATCCTTTGCTCCGACAGGCAGGTCATCCCTGTAACCCGGTCTTTACTCTGAGCAGGCCGCTGGCTCGTCTTTGAGCTCCGGAGCGCGATGGCGCCCTGCTCAGCTGATCTCCGTCCAGGATAGAGAGCGTCTGCTGGGTTGGGGTGGTCTACGCTCCCCCCGTCAGTTTCCGCTCCAGCCGGTCCAGCTTGGCCAGGTTCTCCTTCAAGAGTTTGGACCCCGGACTGAGGAGCAGGGCTCTCTGGTAGTACATCCGGGCTGCTGCATAGTCTCCCTGCGAACACGGACAGAGCGGTTAACACCGAGGGATGAAACAGAGATCTTTAAAATGACCCGGATCTCAGAGCTCCAGAACCCTTTCAGAACCGGTTCAAAGTTCCCTTCAGTCAGCCTGTTAAAATGCAGTAAAAGCTGCAATACAGGTCAATAAATCTGAAAACGTTTTATTGATTATTGACCTAAAAAGGTGGATTTGTAGATGACGTCTCTCTTTGTTTGAGATTCAGTGACTTTGGCCCAAAGTTTCATAAAAACCCGATCATTCCAGTAAATAAGAAAACGGCGTAAAAACACACTCTTTACTGTCGGACATGTTCATGAAACTTTGACATTTTCTGGACTCACTTCACTCCAGATAAAGTCTTTGAAACTGAGGAGTGAGAAAAGGAGGATTTCAGTCAGATTCTAATCAATAATCAATATATCAACATGTACAAAACAGCTGTAAGAAAACACTCATGTACAGATCTACACATCTTTTTTTATATATTAATATATTTTTAACTCCTGAGTTTCTTTAATCTCTCTTTTGTATTTGCTGTAAATTTGGAATTTCCCCTTATGAGACAAATAAAGAAATGTAATAATAATAATAATAATAATAATAATAATAAAATAATAATAATAATAATAACAACAACAACAACAACAACAATCATCATCATAATAATAATAATAATAAAATAATAATAAAATAATACTAAAATAATAATAATAATAACAACAACAACAACAACAACAATCATCATCATAATAATAATAATAAAATAATAATAATAATAAAATATAATAATATTAATAATAATATAATAATAATAAAATAATAATAATAATAATAAAATAATAATAATAATAATAATAATAATAATAATAATAATAAAATAATAATAACAACAACAACAATAATAATAATAATAATAATAATAATAATAATAATAAAAAATAATAATACATAAAATAATAATAATAAAATAATAATAATTTAATAATAATATAATAATAATAAAATAATAATAATAATAATAAAATAATAATAATAATAATAATAATAATAATAATAATAATAATAATAATAATAATAATAATAACAACAACAACAATCATAATAATAAAATAATAATAATTTTTTATTATTATTATTTTATTATTATTATTATCATTATTATTATTATTCCCACAGATTCATGAGTGATCCTTGTTTACCACGTATTTTTAAATCTCTCTAAATGTTAAAATGTTTGTTTTATTATGAGTCTGATGAAGACCTTAATGTGCTGAATCCCTCCCATGTTCATCCAGGCCTGAGACTGGTCCGGTTTGAGCTCCACGGCCAGTTTGTAGCTCTGAGAGGAGAAAACAACAAGAGAGTGAGATCAGGAGGAAAAAACAACAAAACTACAGGATGAAATCCATTTTACTCTTTATCTGCTGCTCAAACGAACGAACGACATGAATCAGTCAGACTGAACCAAACGAACGACTCCTGAACGACTTTATTCAGGCGGAGGAGGGAGGGGTGTGTCGTCGTTCACTTCCTGCCGAGTGGTTGGTTGACTGAGATAAATCGGGTCATTATGGCGCCTTTACATTCAAACACGTGTTTAATCTTTCCTGTAAGAAGATTTAATACAAAGAAATACGATATTTGATATCTTTAAAAGTCTCTGAATCCTCGCTACAGCTGACATCGTTATTTATCTTCTCGCCACTTTTCCGTCGTATAAAAGAACGACGACTCGCGCTCGTTTAGCGGCGTGCTGCTCGCTGCTGTGTTGTTTCCGCCGACAGACGGCGACATACAGAGAGGTGAGTTTTTCAGCGCGGGGGAGTGATTCTTCCTTCAGGACTTGGCGAATGAACGACACGAGTCACCCAGAGAACGACGCTGTGGGAGGGGAGGGGCTAATGAACGAACTCGCCGCTGTGTCACTCACTGGTTTTACTGCAGCGACAGGGCGGGGCTCCGAAACACTGACTGATTCAGTGAACGAATCTTTTGAACGAATCGTTTTAATGATTCTAAGGAGTCAGTCAAAAGAACTGATCTTCCGTCACCACCACAGAGAGCTGAGCGGTCGTCTCTCTCTCTCAGGATCTTCATGTCTGTGACACGTGACTCTGTGTTTCAGCTCTTAGAGACAGAGAACCTTCTGCTCATGTCCACCTCCTCTACATCAGCCTGAGTCCCTCTAAA